GGGGAGTTGATTTTATGCTTGGGTGACACACTTGCTAACAAGGGGACTGAGTAGGATAAGGTCTAGTTATCAGATATACCCAAAGAATGAATATTTTTACTTCTGCTGCAATGTTTGGGAAAAGGATGGGAAGCATATAATAAAACTACTGATGGACCCATAAGTCTGGCAACGCTGCTGGGTCCTATCATCACCTGTGCAGTGATAACTGTGTATGTGATCCTTGCTGCTCTGTCTTCTCTCTCTCCCCTTGGTTTCTATACAGCAGCTTAGATACGCACTTGCGTGTTGGTGCATGTGCAGGTTTGGCACACACTGATGTCCCCTGCTCCATAGCCAGCCAGGATGCTTCGTTTCCATCCCGCCATCTTTCTTTCTCTAACCTACTCTTATCTGCCTCTCTGTCTGCAGCAGACATGGATGCAGTTGATGGCAGCCTCCCCTGGATCCCCACTGTGCCCCCCAGCGAAGTGACGGTGACGGATATCACGGCCAACTCCATTACCGTGACCTTCAGAGAAGCACAAGTAGCTGAGGGCTTCTTCCGAGACCGGAGTGTGCAGTTCTGAATTTCCATTTTTAATGTCCCTAATCAAATTCTCTTTGGGGGGGGAGATTATCTTACTCTTAAAAAGAAAAAGAAATATCCAAAATGTTTTCTCTTCAAATGTTTACAGAGAATTTTGATTTTATTTGACTGTTGAAGGCTCATTGATTTTTCTTTTCTTTTTCCCATTCAGATATGCAAAAACAGAGAGCTATGTAAGGGGTGCCTGTGTTGCTAGTTTGTTTTAGTATATATTCACTAGTCTGCTGCTTTGTATGTCTGAGAAGCTGCCACGCCTTTCCCTGGCAAAGACTTCCCTTTTAAGGCCGCTTGCAAAAAATCTCTGTCTCTCTCTTCCCTTCACCCCATCTAAATTAGAGAGGTTGTTAGCTGTGTTAGTGTGATGTCAGGCAGAAGGCAGGGTAGAGCCTGCACCTTACAGGCTAACTGAATCAGACATGCATAAGCTTTCAGTGGGTGCGTCTACATGAGATGCTTACTGTGCATTAGCCTAATAACACTGCACAGAAGCGCGTCATGGCAAAAAAACATTCTAATAGCTTACTGTGCAGTGTTATTAGGCTAATGCGCAGTAAGTGTCACTAAATAACTGTGCGCCAGTGCTACTGTGCAGTAACTTTAGGTACTGTGCATTTAGTTAGTACTTCATTAAGAAGTATCTAAGGTGCATTAGTGAACATGTAGATGTGCCTAATTAGTCTATAAGGTGCATCTCTACTCTGCCTTCTCTCTACCCTGCCTAATTTAGTGTCAGAAAGGGGATGGAGGTGCAGAGAGGCAGGCAGGAGGCCTGAACCCTTCTGTTCTCCGGTTGCTATTCCTTGTACAAAGAGGCTTTCCTTGTGCATTATTGTCCCTACCTTCTAACTCCTTCCCTTCTTGCAGCCAGGAGTGGTATTGGACCCTGCCAGTTGAAGTAATTCATGTCTTTTACAAGTCTCCTTCCTAAAGCTGTTTCCCCTGTGGCTTAGCCCTGTGGTGCATTTGAGGTACTGCAAACAATGTGCTTGCCTGGGAAGCTAAAGGAACCTTGTTGCAAATCATGCAGGTGACTGATCCTTACTGTGCAACTTCATGAAAAGTGAAGGGAATATTCCTTTCTCTGCATGATCCTGAAACACACAGTTTCATAGTTAGCAGGGTCGAAAGGGACCTGAGCAGATCATTAAGTCCGACCCCCTGCTGTGGCAGGAATGAGTACTGGGGTCAAACGACCCCAGCAAGGTGTCCATCTGGCCTCCTCTTAAAGACCCCCAGGGTAGGAGCCTGCACCACCTTGCTTGGAAGTTCGCTCCAGATCCTAGCCAACCCAACAGCAAAGTAGCGCCTCCTGATGTCCAGTCTGAATCTACCCTCTGCCAGCCTGTGACCATTATTTCCTGTCACTCCCGGGAACACTCGGGGGAACAGGGACTCCCCCAGTGCCTGCTGGTCCCCCCGACCAGTCCGTAAATGGCCATCAGATCCCCCCTCAGCCTTCTCTTGTGGAGGCTGAACAGGTTCAGCCTTGCTGCCCCCCAATCGTGCGAGTGATGGGGGAGAGAAACTACCTTCGTCACCTCTTACCAAATGTAGGTTGGTAACATATGCTCACTCTGGATTGCCTTTTATTAAAGGCAACGTGGTTAACTCATTTAATTTAATATATGCTAAAATTGTGACTCTTCATCTTCTTCCATACAGAGACCATCCCTGCCCCAACCTCCTCTGATCAGGATCTCTGCCACTTAGTGCTGTGAAAAGGGCAGAATGTTTGTGACCTTCTCTGCATACTAGAATATTTGCCAAACCTAGTAGTAATGCAGCTACTGCCCCCCAACTGTTCAGTTAACTCTGCCATCTCTTTGTGGAAAGAAGGGTTCACAGGATGAGTGAAATGCTGCCTGGGAGTACTGGAAATCCAGAGATAATCGCACAGGCCTGGCATGCAAGAACCAGTCAGACCTGAATTAGAAGTGAGCACTGATCACCTAGTTTTGCTCTCTGATCAGACTGAAGGGCACAAAGTAGACAGTAGAAGGACTGGGAAGAGGCTAGTAGACCTCTAAAATTCTTTCACTTTTATTCCTCCTCTAAAGTGAGAGAAATTCTTGGTTCAAGGGTCCTATTAATTATTTTTTCTCCACTCATTCTCCTTACAATATGTGTGACCCCCTGGAGCACTCCTCTTTGAGAGTTTAAAAAATCTTTGCCAAGGAAATCTGTCTGCAGTTCTACAGACCCTGCCTGATATTGCACTTAAAAAGGCCTTGATTTATAGTGGACTACCTGTGACACTTCTTTGGGGCTTTGAAGAATTGCTTTCCTTTGAGTTGATAGTTTAGCATCTGTTCTTGCACACGCTCTTCCTTTCTTCTTTATTTTTCTCTATTACCGTTTATATTTATAATTCAAGATATTTAAATAGATTTCTTCCTATGGAAAATAAGAAGGGTAAGATGATAAATCCTGAAGTGTGGACTGTGGAACAGTACAGGCTGAAGTGCAATCTTGTTTTCTTCTATGGTTTCACCTCTTTTACCGTCTCTGTGGGGTATTACTTTGTTGGGTTTGTGCTAGCTGCAGCTTCCCTCCATGCTGAGCTCTGGACCTCCACTCTTGTGGAGGTCCTAAGTAGTAAGTACTGCCTCTGCAGCTACTCCACTGGAGGGCTTGGCTTCTGGCCTGCAGAATTTAGCTCTTCAGCTCCAAACATCTGCTTTTTACAAAGGTTTGGAATGTCCCCAAATCTTTCATTGAAAGCAGGTTTTACCTCTAATTGGATGTGGCCGCTCAAAGTGTACAGAGATTCACCATCCGTTCAGAAGCTGTCAGGATCAAACTGATTTCCACCAGGCCATAGCACTTTCAGAGCAGTATGGCAGGCTCTGTATCTTGGGCGCTTAAGTGTAAATGCACATCAGACAAAGAATATGGGACACCTGGAATTAGGACAGTCTTAATGGGGAAGAAGTGGAGAGGAGGAGGCCAGAGAGAAGGTATGAGAGGTGGTGTAGTGAAGAATGAGGGGAGAAGGTGGCTTAAAATAAATACAGACCTAAGATTAAGTATGTCAAATTTGGGGCCTTTGAGTTGTACTTGTTTCCTGTTCTCTGTGTGTGTGCGTGTGCGCGTGTGTCCCTGAAAATGTGCTGGAGCACCTGTATCTTTCATTGTTTATTGCTGGAAGTCACTGGTCCTCAACGGGGGCATCTACACATGCATTAACGTGCTTTTCATAATGTGCATTAAATTTAATACCTCCAACACAAGGTACTAAATAAATGCACATTAGGCTGTGCTAATGTACGCTAGCGCAAGCACGTGCTTTTCAGGTGATGCTTAATGCACAGTATAGCCTATTCTACTGCTCATTAGCTTATAAGCACATTTTTTATGTGCTGCTTTAATGTGCGGTAGACTAGGCTACTGTGCATTAAAGTGCACATGTAGATGTACCCAAGGTATCTGAAAATCAGGGCCACTGATTGAAGTGACTGGCCTTAGAAGCTTAATTTCAGACACCCAAGTTTGAAAAACTTTTGGCTTCAATCTGTCATTCTGAACCTTTAGAGGAGGTTAGTTTTGACTGACTTTTTAAAAAATACAGCTGTGATTGCCTATATCCTTCCACCCAACTTAGTCTTTTAAATACTGAAAGAAAACTCTTGGATATGTCTAGGCTTGGCCAAAATCCGAGAAGCAGCAGAAATCTTGTGTAGGGAAAAGACCAGACTTGTTCTTTCACTGGAACTTCGTTCTGCTTTTCTCTCTTTGACACTTCACTGCTTACCTGCTGAGATTTCTGAGACCAAAGAATTGTCTCAACACTTTTCTTCAGATATTTTTGTGGGTTCGCCCCCCCCTCACTCCCAAACCCCATACCTCCCGCACCC